TGTGTGTGTGTGTGTGTGTGTGTGTGTGTGTGTGTGTGTTGAGTGTAGTGTTTAAAACAATGTCTAGCATAGAGTAAGCTGTCAATAAGGTGTATCTATTGTGATTGATACATGCAGCAGACAGCAGATGTTTTGTTTAATGGTCATTGTAATCATTACTAAACTCATACAATCTGTACAAGTCTGGGGGTCTCAGGGAATGGGCAGGTTTGAGGGGTAGAAAATGCAGTTATCTTGGACATTAGAGCTAAGCTGGCCACCTCTAACTGCGCTGTATGAATGCAGCTTAGGCTAATAACATCGGTACTTCACAGAAAAGATGGAGCACAATTTGATTGAAAGAGAAACAGCATCACATAGGACAAAGGTCAGGGCTGTGGTCCCAAGGTTGTTCTGAGTTAGAAGGTTCACCTCATTTCTCAGGGAGCAGAATATAATTAACCAGAAGGGAGCACAGAGGCCTCCTTTTGAGAGTCCCCTGAGCGGCCATGTCACAGCTGAATGAGAAGGCAGGGTCAGGATATTATTAACTGTCCCATAAAAGTTGTCCTTTATCAGCAAATTCCATTGCAGATATATCATTCGGCTTTAGAAGAGTAATTCCTGTAAGCAGAGGAGATATTAACCCATGATTCCCAACCAGACAAAGTCAGGGCCTCCCCTTCACCCAAATTCTTCCCCTTCTGAGGACAAGTCTGTTAATTTCAGGAGTTGGCATAGATCATTTTGATTCTCAAATCACATAAGCCATTCGATGAGCAAAAGGAACTTTTGCATTTTATTATTATTATTCTATATACCTACTTATACAATGCTAGCTGAAAATGGAGAAATCCATAAATGAGTTTGCTTTCTGAATAATCAGATTTACTGAATGTTCTTGACCAATTCTACTGGCTGTTGGGATGTTACGGAGTCACAGTCTATGTGACTATGTGAATTAAGAGGAAGAAAGAAATAATAAAGCCATGACCCTTCCTTACTTGAAACCTGGACAAAATTCTATTCATTTACCTTCCTGCTTCACCACCTAGGGCTGTCCTGCCCTTCCCAACAAGGGTGTCCTTGGGATCAATCGTGCCCCTGGGCAGGGAATAAACTGGTTCAACACTCAGCATCTGTAAGTCTTAGGGCTGCGCTGACTTGGTACCCCCTGATGGCTCTGTCGTGTCCTGCTGCCTCGTGTCTGGGGACTCAGTGCTAGTCGACTTCCCAAGAGGCCCAGCTTCTACCTGCATGATCAGTCCTGCCCATCCTCCACTGAGACGACAGGCCACCTCCAGAACCCCAAAGAGGATTGTTCCCTGATGGAGATCTCCAACTGCAGAGCTCCATGGATGACCTGGATGACCTGCAGCTGCATTCCAGCCACCAATGAGGCTTGCCTTTCTCTGCAGGCTTCCCGCACACTGACAGTTCCCCTGCACACACAAGCTCAGAGCCTATGTCCTTCCAGCTGGAGCTCTTTCTATAACCTGCTCCCGGGCTGATGCCCACAGCTCTTCTTTCCAGTTCCACTCCAGAGGACGGGACCAGGCCCTTCCTCTCAGCCATTCACGTAGCAGGCATTTTCACGTGCAGTAGTCCCTCATTTTATAGATACAATTTTGCGATGCAGGTATCCAAATTCTTACTACCATTTCCATTGCCAACTTTAAGAAAACTGAGGCTCAGAGAGGCTAATATGCCTTGCCCAACTGAAGGGAAGAATTCAGTGGAATTAGGAGTCCAAACTAGGTCTTGTCTCTGTACAATAGAATATTATTACTCGTCCATAAAAGAGGAGTGAAGTGCTTATTCATGTTATAAGGTGATTGAACCTCAAAAATATGCAAAATGATCACAGAAGAAGAAATACGATGGTCAACAATTATGTAAAAAAGTGTTCAATGTGTCTAGCAGTTAGAGAAATGTAAATTAAAACTACCCTGCAATTTCATCTCACTCCAGTCAGAATGGCAATTATAAAGAATACAAGGAACAATAAATGTTGGTGGGGATGTGGGGAAAAAAGGTACACTCACACCTTGCTGGTGGGACTGCAAATGGTTTGGTGCAACCACTCTGGAAAGCAGTATGGAGATTCCTTGGAAAACTTGGAATGGAACCACCATTTGACCCAGTTATCCCTCTCCTCAGTCTATACCCAAAGGACTTTAAAAGAGCACACTACAGTGATGCAGTCACATCCATGTTTATAGCAGCTCAACTCACAATAACCAAGCTATGGAAATAAACTTGGTGTTCTTCAACAGATGAATGGATAAAGAAAATGTGGTATATATTTACAATGGAATATTACTCAGCCATAAAGAAGAATGAAATTCTGGCATTTGCCAGTAAATGGATGGAGCTGGAGAATATCATTCTAAGTGAAATAAGTCAATCCCCCAAAAACCAAGACCAAATGTTCTCTCTGATTTGTGGATGCTAACCCAAAACAAGGGAGGTGGAGAGGAGAATAATAGAAATCCATTGGACTAGACAAAGGGAAATTTTTTTTAAAAAGGGAGGTAGGAGAGGAATAGAAAAGACAACAGAATTAATTGAACATAACATTCCTAGCCTTGTATTTGTATATATGACCAGGGTAACTTCACATCACATATGACCACAAGAGTGGGAACCTGAATAGAATAAGTTATACTTTATGCACATATATTCTGCCAAAATACATTCTACTGTCATGTATAACTAAAAAATAAAAATATTTTTTTAAAAAAGAAGATATACAATGGTACATATATACACAATGGAATATTACTCAGCCTTAAAGAAGAATGAAATTATGGCATTTACAGGTAAATGGATGGAGCTGGAGAACATCATGCTAAGCAAAATAAGCCAATTCCAAAAAAAAAAAAAACCAAAGGCCAAATGTTTCCTCTGATATGCAGATGATAATTCAATAAGGGGGAGGTGCTAGAGAAGGATAGAAGTACTTTGCATTAGACAGAGGGGAGTGAAGAGAGGTGAGGGGATATGGAAGCAGGAAGGATAGTAGAATGAATGGGACCTTATTACCTTATGTACAAATATGATAACACAACCAGTGTGATTCTACAATATGCACAACCACAAGAATGGGAAATTATACTCCATGTATGTATGATATGTCAAAATACATTCTACTGTCATGTATAACTAAAAATAACAAATAAAAAAATAAAGTAAAAAATATGCTTAATGAAAGAAGCCATATACGTGCACACATACACACACACACACACACACACACACACACACACACACGTCTCTATTTACATGAAATACTCAGAATAGGTCAATTCACAGAAACAGAATGCAAATTGTTGGCTGCCAGGAAATTGCTGCTGATAAAACTGGTGATAAAAATGTTTTGGACTAGGTAGAGCTGATGGTTTTACAACATAGTGAGTGCACCAAAGAAGCTACCAAATTGCTCACTCTAAAAATGGTTCATTTTATGTCATGTGAATTTCACTGCAATTTTATTTCAAATACAGGTCTTTGATTTTCAGACTCTGAGCTTCTTTCACTGATTTTCATATTTTCCAACTGTTCTAAGCTATAAAAAACATTATATTGTGTACACTTTAAAATCAGATATAGAGAAGTCATATTTCACATTACTTTAATATGTGAGTCACCAAGAAAGTCTAAATTAAACAAAAATGTTATTATAAATGTAAAACAGCTACATGATAAAGTTCAAATAATACAAGCTTACAGCTTCCTAGCCACTCTAGTCTCACTCCCTAGAGATAAGCATTTTAAACAGTTCTAGGTATAAACTTCTGGAAGGTTTTTGGAATATATGCATAATCAGAATTTCCATAAAAGAATCCTAACATCAGCAGAATAATCCATTTTATAGACATGGCATAGATTTGTTTCCCTTTCCCTAGTAGCTAGTTCTGCTCCCACGTCCCTGCATTCTAATGTGTCATGCTTCAAAGCTGGTTTGTAGCTCTAAACGATAAAAGTGGTTTTCAAACTTCAGAATGCGAAGGAATTGTCTATGGAGCTTGGTAAAAATGGTGATTCTTGAGCCTCCCAAGTTCCTGGGGAACCTCAAAAGTTTGGTGTATCTGTAGTATAATTTATCTTCAGTATACACTCCAGGTTGTATTATTATTGTGATGATGATGAGGAGGAGGAGGAGGAGGAGTGGGGATTGAACCCAAGGGCACTCTACCACTGAGCTATATCCCCAGCCCTTTTTAGTTTTTTATTTTGAGGCAGGGTCTCACTTAGTTGCCTCAAACTTGAGTTCTCCTACCTCAGCCTCCCAAGTCAGCGGGATTACAGGTGTGCATCATAAAACCAAGCAACATTCCCAGGTTATTCTGATACAGGTGATTCCAAATCCTACTTGAAGAAATATTGAAACAGAACAGGGAACCTCATTAATCCCTGCAAACTATTGCTCAGCTGTGGCCATGTTTCAAAACCTGAGAAGAGCTAGGAGTACAAACCTGTCCAAGGCCCTGACCTTGGGGAAGATAGGTAAACCGGCCGGTGCCGTGACATGAGGAGCACACAACACAACAGGGATGCACACGGGGAAGGAAAGACTCACCTTGAGCACCCGTCAGGGGAAGCTCTGTCAGGTGAACGCTGAGCCAAATAGCAGTAGGTTAACAAGTGTTATCCAAGAAGATGGAGCTGGAGGGGTGCACAGGTGAAAGTTCCAGACAAAAGGAGTATCACATGAAGTCACGGAAGAGCAGAGTAGCACTGGAAAAGTCTACTGGAAAAATAAATAACAGTCACATCACTGGTGCACCATATTAAGGAGCTGGCCTTCATCTGTGGGCGATGGAAACTATGAGCAATTTCAAACAGAAAAGTAAGAAAGTCCAACTTGCATTTTTAGAAACTATTGTGGCCACTGTGTAAAAGATGGTCTCAAGGGGCCCTAAAGCTAAAGGCAGGGAGACTCATTCAGAGGCTATCATAGCATTATGACAGAGTGATGATAAAGAAGTGTGGTAGCTGGGACTGTCGCTCAGTCACAGAGCAGGTGCTCTGCATGTTACAAGGCCTGTGTATGGCTACCACAAAGGAAAAAAGAAATGTGTAAAAACACTAGAAAAAAACATAAAAGGATCCCAACACAATTTAAGGTAGGGGAAATGCTTTTTAATTTTATTATGAAACTCAGAAGTCAAAAAAGAAAAGAATGGTAAATCACACAATATAAAAAATAGAAAGTCAGGTAAGTACAATGGCGCATGCCTGTACTCCCAGCCACTTGGGAGGCTGAAGCAAGAGGATCACAAGTTCAAGTCCAGCCTAGGCAATTTAGTGAGAACTTGTCTCAAAATTTAAAAAAAAAAAAAAGTAGGGGGTGGAGGCTGGGACTGGAGGCTGTGGCTGGGGCTTAAAGGTAAAGCAACCCTGGGTTCAAATTCCAGTACCAATAAATAAATGAATCAATAAATAATAAAAATAGAAAGTTCTGTGTATCATAAAAAAACTAAAGAAGTCAAAATACAAACAACTAACTGGACAAAATGTTTGCAAAACTTATCAGAAGGGTTAATTTCAATTAACATATGAAAAAGTTTAATTAATATATGAATCAATGAGAATAGACCAGTGATCCACTAGAAAGTAGCTAACTCACAAAAAAAGACCTTACGAAGATTTTCAAGTAGTGAAAAGAATTATTAGTCTCATTCATAATGAAAGCCAATACAAAATGAATCTATAACGAAATAATGATCGTTACCTATCAGATTATATTACCATGTCAAACCTTTTTAAATTTTTTAAGAAAAACAAATTCTCAAATACAAGGAATTACAAGGGTATAAATTAATAGAATGGTTGTGATGCAGATAAATATAAAGTCTAAAAGGATCAAGTACAGAAAGGTTCCAGGCTACTATAAAATTGCTATACATTTTGTGGAAAATATCTACAGTGTTAATTGAAAATAACTACAATAAAGTTAGAACTGAAGACACAATGCTCTCAGTGTGATTCCATTCACGTTAAAATGTTTTTAATTAGCCTCACAAAATCCAAACAGTTTTACCATCTGATATGGTCACAAAAAACAGAATCAAGAGTTTCCTCTGGGGTTTTCGGCTGCCATACTAGAAATGTGATCCAAACCTAGGGGACATGAGCCTTCCTCACACAGAACAGCCTTTAGGTTGATGCACAGCTGAATTTCAATTTCTCCTACCAAAGGAGTAGAGTCCAATAATTTAGCCTCTCTGATCTTTTGACGAGCAACTTGTGTACATTGATTCAGCAGGAGTAGGAGCCGTTTATTGTAGGACAGGAGGGGTATTTATACGTTCCACACAGCTTATCTTAATTAACATAAACTAGATACAGCAGTCAACCAATAAGGAATCTCCACACTTAATGGCTCACTGGCCTTACTTCACAAACCACTCCCTCTGCAAAATGCCAGGCACCATCCTGACTTGTTTATAGACTCTAACAATCTTTCACTTTCCTATCTGGAAAAACAAGGAACCATAACCCCTTCCCAGAGTTTTAGGGGGATTAAAAAGATAACATGTTAAAGCACCTTAGACCCGGTGCTTGGCAGAGGATCTATGCTTAATTAATGTTCTCTTTTGCTTTTTCCCTTCTCTCTTAACTCATCCTTCAGACAAATCAATGGAAAAACCCTTCCCTCCCCCTCTCTTCAGACACTTCACTTCTAGGGACTAATGGGGGGGGAGGGGCATTGCTTAATCACCAGGGAAAGTAATGGGAGAGTCCTGAACAGTTAAGCTTAAGCCAGCAAATAGTTAAAGAGACAGAAAGAGCTGGAGGCTCAAGTAAAGAGAGGGGTTGGTTACAGAGAAGCAGTGCAGGGCAGGCAGTAGCAGGAACTTGTGGAAAATACTCACATCTGCAGCACATTTTTGGAAATGTCTCCTTCAATAGTAGGAGGCGGAGGAGAGGCTGATGGAAGAATCTCCATTCAGAGCCAGAGCAGGAGCAATCGCCAATGTAGACTCAAGGAAATCAGAGTCCTGACTGGATCCAAGCAGGTCAGAGGGCAGTGAGCTGGAGCCAGAGACCAAATTAGAGCCGTGTTCTGGCAACTGGGCTGTGGGACTGGTGAGAATATCCACCAGCTTTGTTTCTCAGCCAGCAGAGCTGCTCCGAGAGGTCAGGAAAACTCAGAGGAAGGCAGTGAAGGGCCAGGGGAGAGGTGAGTGCCTCTCAGCCACGCAATAGCTGTCAAGAGCCAGAAACGGATGTTCCTGAAATCTCTTTACAAATGGCATCCCAACTGCTTAGGGACATGAGAGGAGAAGATTCGTCATTCTGTGCTCCTCGGAGCAAAGGTCAAGCCTGTGAAATGACCCACGTAACCTGTGAAAGAGCCCTGCCCATTATTGGCAAGTCATTTGTCAGAAAATGAGGCCAGTTGTGATATCTTTGAGGATAAGGAAGAAATGGACATCTTGGTTTCAGAGAGGTGGCCAGGACAAAGCCAGAGGCAGAAATAGGCTCTCTGGTTCCGTCCTTGGTCCTTTCTGTTTTCTTTCTCTCAATGTGGTATTCTCATTCATTGCTATGCCTTTAAATACTACTTCCCCATCTGAGCACCATGCAATATGCTGGACTCTTCTCCCCTCACCATGCATGTCCTTCTCACTTTTGGGGGTTTTTGAGGTTAACTATTGTTATAGTTTGGATATGAGGTGTCCCCTCAGAGCTCCTGTGTTAGTGTAGGAATGGTTTGGAGGTGACATGATTAGATTATGAGAGCTGTAACCTAATCAGTTGACCCTAGCTTAAATGATAAGGTGGTAACTGGGGGTAACTAAATTTTGGAGCAAATTCTTTGGAGGAAATTTGGATATATTTGTCAAAAAAGGGCTCACAATTCTATTCCTAAAACTTTTTCTGATCATTGTTTAAATGAACACCCAAAGACAAATGGAGAAATTTAAATTGCAACATTGATTATGATCTCATGCATCCACATACACAATCAGGAATAGACCTAGATGTCACTTAATAAGGAAATAGTTATCTAAATCATGATATGCTGGACTAATGTGAAATCATGAAAAAGAATGAGGTGTATTTTCATGTGCTAACCATGAATGATCTCCAGGAGACACTGATCAGTAAAAAATAAACAAGTGAACAAGGTGTGGTGGTGCAGGTCTGTAACCCCAACTACTCAGGAGGCTGAGGCAGGAGGAATGCAAGCTTGAGGCTAGCCTGGGCAACTTATCAAGACTCTGTCTCAAAATAAAAAATAAAAGGGATGGGCCACCATAAAACTTCTAGAACTAGTAAATACAGTCAGCAAAGTAGCAGGATATAAAATCATAAATCAAAGGCATTTCTATATATCAGTGATAAATCCTCAGAAAGGGAAATGAGGAAAACTACCCATTCTCAATAGCTTCAAATAAATAAATAAATAAATAATATTTGGGAATCAACTTAATGAAAGAGGTGAAAGATCTATCTAATGAAAATTACAGAACCCTAAAGAGAGAAACCAAAGAAGACCTTGGAAGATGGAAAGATCTACTTTGCTCTTGGATAGGCAGAATTAATATTATCAAAATGACCGTACTTCCAAAAGCACTATACAGATTTAACGCATTTCCAATCAAAATTCCAATGACATTCCTCATAGAAATAGAAAAAACAATCATGAAATTTATCTGGAAAAATAAAAGACCCACACACAATAGCTAAAGCATTCCTTAGCAAGAAGAATGAAGCAGTTGGCATCACTATACCAGAATTTAAACTATACTAAAGAGCAATAGTAACAAAATCAGCATGGTATTGGCACCAAAACAGACTTGTAGACCAATGGTAAAGAACAGAGGACACAGAGACTAACCCACAAAACTACAATTATCTTATATTAGACAAAGGCACCAAGAACATGCATTGGAGGAAAGATAGCCTCTTCAACAAATGGTGCTGGGAAAACTGGAAATCCACATGCAACAAAATGAAATTAAACTCCTATCTCTCACCATGCACAAAACTCAACTCAGAATGGATCAAGGACTTAGGAATACAACCAGAGACCCTGTGTCTAATAGAAGAAAAAGTAGGCCCTAATCTCCATCATGTGGGATTAGGCCCCAACTTCCTTAATAAGATTCCTATGGCGTCAGAATTAAAATCAAGAATTAATAAAGGGGATGGATTCAAACTAAAAAATTTCTTCTCAGCAGAAGAAACTGAAGTGAAGTCAATAGACAGCCTACATCTTGGGAGCAAATCTTTACCCCTTACACATCAGATAGAGCACTAATCTCTAGGGCATATGAAGAACTCACAAAGCTAAGCACCAAAGGAAAAAAAAAAAAAGAAAACAAATAACCCAATTAATAAATGGGCCAAGGACCTGAAGAGACACTTCTCAGAAGGTGATGTACAATCAATCAACAAATATATGAAAAAATTTTCATCATCACTAGCAATTAGAGAAATGCAAATCAAAACCGCTCTAAGATTTCATCTCACTCCAGTCAGAATGGCAGCTATTATGCATACAAACAACAAAAAGTGTTGTCAAGGATGTGGGGAAAAGGATACACTCATGTATTGCTGTTTGGACTTCAAATTGGTGCAGCCAATATGGAAAGAAGTATGGAGATTTCCTGGAAAATTGGGAATGGAGCCACCATTTGACCCAGGTATACCTCTCCTTGATCTATACCCAAAGGACTTAAAAACAGCATACTACAGGGACACAGCCACATCAATGTTTATATCAGCACAATTCACAATAGCTAAATGTGGAACCAACCTAGATGCCCTTCAATAGATGAATGGATTAAAAAAATGTGGCATATATACACAATGGAATACTACTCAGCAATGAAAGAGAATAAAATCATGGCATTTGCAGGTAAATAGATGGAGTTAGAGAAGGTAATGCTAAGTGAAGTTAG